CTGGGAAAGCCGAAGGGCCCACCCGCCCGTCCGCGTTTCTTACCCGGTTTTGACGAGTTCTGCGCTTCCACGCATGCACAAGACGCATACAGCGCCTGCGCGATCCTCCAGGAGCAGCTGGAGTGTCGCACAGATGCTAGTACGCCTGCGTGCACTGCGTGCATGCACGAGGACGCCGCCGGCCCCGTTCCAACCGAACCGGGTTGGAATGGGGTGAGAAACCCACCCCTGAAGTGGATGGTGGTAGTCTATGTTCTGTCTTTTAAATCTCTTGTTGCCCAAACTCCTCAGCTGTTGCTTTTCTTTATATTCTGTCCTCTCTCCTCATCAGCTTTCAGAAGGTTGGAGGGACAATGTTGGTTTCACCAGGTCCATTTCATTGGCCTTTTATGCTTACTCAAGGGTCAAGTGCCCTTTCAGGCTTTGTTTTCTTGGACACCTTCCTGTGGGATGAAATATACTCAGGTTTTCATTCCTTCAGAATTTACACTTAGAGCTGTGTACAAAACAGCTCAGCCAGCACATTCTGCCCACAGCATCATTTCTCCCTTTTGATTGACGCTTGAATTACACTCTTGTCAATTGCCTCACAAAGAATCCAGAGAAAATGCCCTTACAGTCATTAACCATCTAAATGCCACAGAGACTGAAATCTTTATATAGTCATCCCAACTTGTTTATCCCAATTGTTTGAGATGCCATGTGTCTTCTACCAGAAACGATCTTTTTTTTTTTTAAGTAAAGAAAAGTTACTTTTCTTGTCTTGACTGCTGATTGAGACTTCTAGGCTAAAATAAAATGGCACCTGACACTGTCCTGAATGTTGTGTAAGAGGCTTTGAGAGACCGCAAAGACATTGTTTTGACACTATTGGGATTAATGTGTCATTTTTTTTTGAGTTGCGTTCAAATGGGTTATATAAATCCTTCTCAAGTATCATTTATTACACTAAGCAAGAAAACCAACCAGAAGATTCAACACATTTCTTGATGTGTATGCATAGAATATTTTTTTAAAAAAGAAATGTGATATTTTTGTGCGAGAGATTTTGTAGCAGAAAGGAACTTTTAAAAATCAAAATCACCCCAATATGTACAAAAGTGTCAATTGTTCCTTTTTTTGTCAGACTTTTAAACAAATCAGTCAAGCAGCAAACCTGTTTATCCAGATTTCACTGGGCTACACATTGAAAAGTTTAAGGTTCGAATCCTGCCTCTGTTATAAAATCACTAAAAATTACCAGAGAGAAAGAAACTGGTTGCCAAAACATAAATGTTTTGAGAATTCATGTGCATTTACAGAAGGAAACATATATCCTTTTCTTTCTTTCTTTTTTTCATTTCATTATTGAATGTTTATTGTCTTAGGTCTACCAGAACCAAAGAAAGAACCTGTATTTCAGGGATTGGGAATGGAAGAAGGATTTTATACATCAAAAGAATTCCTACCACTGGTGTCTTTGGCAAGTAAACCAGGTATATATGCTCTGTTATTTTGTTTGTTTTGATATGTATATGCAATATTTATATGTCATCTTTTATATGATTAATGTGATACATTATTAATGCATTAAAATACATTCTAATTCCAAAACAGTTAAAAGAATGAGTATTGGAAAGAAAGATAAAATAACCAAGGCAAAGAATCAGATTTCATTGTAATTTAATAGCACATAATTCCATTTTTTTCTCCATTGGTGCCAAATGTGTTGGGTTTTTAACTAATCCAGCTAACATCATCCCCAATTAATGCATGTGCAGGAAAACAGAATCATATTTTTTTACCAGTTTCAATTCAATTTGATGAAAATGAATTTATTAAAATTTATTTCAAAGGAGAAAATAATTTTGATGAACTTTTCATCATACCACTTAATAAAGCCTTGATAAGACCAGAATTGGAATATTGCATCCAGTTTTGGTCACTACAAAATAAAATAAAAAAGATGTTGAGGCTCTAGAAAGAGTGTAGAGAAGAGCAACGAAGATGATTAGGGAACCAGAGGCTAAAACATATGAAGAACAATCACAAGGATTGGGTATGTCTAGTTTAATGAAAAGAAGGACTAGGGCTGACATGATAGCAATCATACAATATTTGAGGGACTGTCATAAAGAAGAAGGGTTCAACATATTCTTCACAACACCTGAAGATAGGGCAAGAAACAATGGATGGAAACCAGTCAAAGAGAGAACCAACCTAGAAATAAGGAGAAGTTTCCTGACAGAACAATTAATCAGTGGAATTGCTGTCAGCATTCCAAGTATCATGTAGAATTAAATCAGAGTCCAAGGCAAAACGATCCTTAAAGTTCCAATTTAATAAAGCAGATATCTTAGCACATTGCTGTGTAAATCCCAATTCTGGAAATTACATCAGAATTCCATCCAGTTAAAAGTTCATGGTCTTGTCCCCACACCCACAATCCATCACATGGTCCAATCTTCTTCTTCACCCAGCTGCTTCTGGTCAGGTGTAAAAGTGTGGAGACAAAAGATGACCTTGGCTTC